AAAATAATATATAAAGGCAGTATGTGAAAAATAGGTGTTTTTCTGTAGAAATGTGCACATAGAGTATCAAGAACTGCAAGTATCCACTGTTGTTTGCAGGTAACATCAGATATGCTTGCACAATTTAGAAAACTACCTTTAGTGGGCAGACAGGAAAGAAGTTCAAGCTTGCCGCTGCAGACCCTCTAGATTGGATAGAAAAGCCCATTTATGGCATTTTTTCTGAATGGTGTGATATGGTCTGTTTTGAATCCATTTGAAATATGGATGTTGCAGGATGCTAATTTTTAATCAGGATATTCTTGAGGTACTATGGTGAAGTGATTCAGTCTAAATATATTAAAGTCATTGCAGGGACTTTTACCAATGTATATAGTAATTTCATAAAAAATGTGATTAAATGAATTTCACAAGATGTATTCTTCATTAAAACATATTGATTGACATGATTATTTATTATCATTATTTAAATCTGTATTGATTGAACCGCTCATTTGCTGGTCCATTAGTTTGCCTGAGTTTTGATGTCACTCTAACCAGATTATTTCACTATTGCTCTAAGATGAGGATTCCAGGAGTCCTCAACAATCTTTACAGTGTTGCATACAAAAAAATGACAGCAAATACCTTGATTTTCTTGGCCAAACAATTGAAAACACATACTACTATGTTATCTGGATGTGGTGAATTAAGAAACTTTACTTTTTTAAATGGTCTTTCACATATTTCTACACATCTTTTTCAGTATTATAAACTTTTCATCATGATACATTGCCTTTGAATTTCCACTTAAAATGGGGGCTTTTTCACCCAAAAAACCAAGTGAATTCAGCCAGAAGTTAGGAAAATGATCCCTACATGGCTATCAGAGAGACATCAGAAATTTAACAAGAAGCTGCAGGCAGCCAACAGTCTTCCATCCCACATCTCCAAACCTGTGTCTTCCATTCTGCTAAACTCTCATGTGAAAATTTGATCTTGGTTCCTAGATTTTTGAAGGACCTTTTCTTGTTCTTTCACTTCAAAAGACAAACATTATCCTCTGAAAACAATGGGACATGACGAAGCATGTATTACCGGGCTGTTAATGCACTTTGCACTTTGGCCGTGTGCCTCACAGTGCCCCAGAGACTTGCATTAATGGCTCAGTGATACGACACACCCTATCGTGTCTTATTGCTTGATTGGACTCCAGACAAATTCAGTTAAACCACATATGCTGCCTTTTATGATTACTGCTGTACAGCTTGTATTTCCTCAGTTCTTGGGTGCTTTTGGTGGTCTTTGTGTAATTTCAAATGTATCCCTTGAAACCACAGATTGTAGAGGCAGAGGTTAAGCTGTACCCCTGGCCCTTTTCCATCCATGTGACAAATGAGAATGTACTCTGACAGGCAAAGCATAAACCTTGAGATGCACACCTGGAAACCTGTAGCAGAAAAGTAGAAGGAGGCATCACAATTCTGTCTGATCTGCTGGCCACAAAATTCACCTTTAACAGCATGCCAGTCATGAGTGTTATGTGGCTGGTATCCATTTGGCATCCATGGTACCCTCATGTCAGAAAAAGACCCCCTAGATCATCTGTAGTGTTTGTGTTTGAGAGGTTTCTCCTATATAGTTCTCCTCTAGTCAGGAGGGCTGCATGCTATAGCTGGAGCAATAATGAAATATCCTGATGGACCTTTCCGATGCGTTCTCTGTCCTACAGTTCAGTATCCATGTGAGCAATGCTCGCAGCCATTGAGATAACTGCCAATAATAAACCTCAGCATTTCACATCACATTCCCTGAACTTGGGAAACTGAGGCCAAAAGGACATCTACCTCTGACAAGGGAAAAACAGGAGGCACTGAGGGACACCAAACAGCTTTCACCACTTTTGGCTGACTGGTCCTGGTAAAAGGAGAGTAGGAAACAGGATGTGATATTTTTTAGATGTAGTGCACTGTTCTGCATGCAGTAAGTTAATATTTGTCTGATCAGAGTAAATTTCTGGTGTACGTAGTTATTTCTTGTTGAGGACTGCAAAGTTTCACAGCACCTTCACGGGATCCCAGACTATGAATCATCTTTGAATGTTGTGGGACCTCAGGTAATTGCCATCACCATTTCTCCTGATTGGTGTTAGATGAAACTGTGGATTAATTTCAGTTTAGAGATACCATGAGTGTCACATGCTCTATATACCATGGATGACAAAGTGCTCATGCACACTGTTCAAGTATTTAAAGCAGAAATCTTGAAATAAATGAATTAATCAAAAGTCTTAAAACCTTAATTTCAGAATGAAATTCTCAAGTGATTATGATTTATATGAATTGCTTTTAGACCATGGACACAGTCTGAGTGGTTATAAAGAGCATCATTGTGCTCTTTAGAAAAGAATATCAGAATGAAATATGCTTTAGTAAATTATCAACTATAATTTGATTTAGTAAATTATCAACTATCTATATCTATATATCTAACTGTCTATAAGAAACCTGGGGGAAATGCACAGAGTTTAACATGAGCCTAAATTAATCCTGATGACACCACAACCAAGGCAAAATCAGCAATCAAACCTATCTTTGCTCAGTATGACTCCAGCATTTAATACATCGATTAATATAAAGAATCAACTGGATCCCCTTCTGGCTAATAGTTTGTCATTCCTGCTGTCTTCATGAACAGGCACCACTGCAACCATCTTAGGAATGTAGCAAGGCCTAAAGGAGTCTTGCCAGCTGTTGGACCACAGTGCCTATTAATAACAACTACTATTTTTATTTGTAATATTGTCAGTTCCTTATTGTATGGATGTAAAAGGGGTTGCCTGTTGTCATTTATGCTTGAAATGTGGATTTTTATCTGTCCAAGACACAATGAGTTTTTGGGCAGTATGGTTTTCACTGAATTAATGTTCATAATTTCTGCTATATCAAAGACCATCCCTTTGTGTGTTTCTAAAGCACTGCAATTACTTTGGTGTATTATTTTTGAAAGAAATTATGTACAGTGACAATTTGAGATGAGTGGAAAAAATAATTTAAACAATTTTAAAAAACTTAAGAGACTTTAAGATTGTAGAAAATCAAATATATATTTACACAGAATTTAGGAATGAAGGCCTGCCTTAAATTACAATCCAGGATAGTCTTAAAAGCAAGAGACATTCTGACACTTTCAATGATTGGGTGGATTTATCTCTCTCAAACTGGTTCTTCAGCATGGTGGGTCAGTGTGAGGCTGTTCCCTAGCTGATGCTCTTTGGGAGCAGCAAGGACTGGCTCAGAACAACAAAGTTTACTCTTCCACCAAGATTTTTATGCTGGTTCATGGAAAGGAGAAAAGCAAACAACACAATTTTGGCAGCCAAAAAGTGCGTTCCAAGGAGGTAACATCCTATCCAACAAGACTGCTCTACTCATGTGTAGCAGTGTTTCAATTTAAAAAAAAATTAGATCAATTCTTAAATGAGGATTATTTAAATGAGGCTATTTATATTATTTACTTTAATTGTATTTCTCCTAAACCAACAACGCTGTACAAATATGTAGGTCAGATTTTGTTCACATCACAGTTTTAGGAGGCTTCAGAATAACTCAGAGCCTCTTTCATCATGTGGTTTTGGTATAGGAGCATGTTTATTGTGTCAGGTATATAATACCACTCTCCATTTTAAGTTCAGCCACAGGGAGAGTGAGGTAAAACATTATTATGAGCAGCCACAACCTAAAGCAAATAAAACCAGCTAAACCAGTGAACATGGTCCCAGAAGTGCAGTATTCCTCTGGAGGGAGGCTTCCATTTCTAGTCTAGACCTTTATCTGTGAAACATTTTAGGTGCTTTACCACATTAAGGTCTTCAAATCAAAGGTCCCATTAGATCTTGAGGGGTGTCTGCACAGATAGCACCTCATGGTGGCCTTATTTGAGCCTTTAGTCTGACCACCTCTCCAAAAGGTGCAGAGCATCTCCGACGTGGTATATGCCTACAGCTTCATGGGGGCCTTGTGGAAATAAAGTGCAGTGTGTGCTCCCCTCCGAGGTTTATGCACAAGCTCCTTGTACTGCTTATGACGGGAGCAGTTTGCTGAAGGATTAAGTTTTAACCCTTCCTCAGAGAAGGTATTTTAAAGTGTGCAAGACCGAGTTGGATGGGGCTTTGAGCAACTTGGTCTACCGAGACTGTCCCTGCTCACGGCAGGGAGGTTGGAATCTACATTACTTCTAAAGTCTGCCCACCAACTCAAACTATCCTATGATTCTGTAATGCTGAGTGTGGCACATAAGACACAGCCTGGGATCCATTTTTCTCCATTTCTGTAGATTTGTCCTATGTGCTGGCTGGTCACTGTGCCCTGAGCTGGGATATCCCCCTTCGTACATTGCCGTGCCAGGCTGTCTGACAGCTCCATCTCATGCTTTATTGGGAGGCAGCATGCTGTGGTTCTCAGAGCACGGGCTGGGGAGCAGAGCACATGGGATCTCTTCCCAGTGCTTCTCATAGCCACAGGCTCAGCCCTAAATTATACCGAGCTTCACAGCTACAGCAGAAGGACAGCGATATTTATTTACACAACTCCTAAGCATGTGTAGTAGGCTTGGCAAGACCGTGCAAATTAATTCCTGCTAATGAAAGTTTGGATTTTTTAATATTACCCTTATGCTGTGACTGCAACCTTCCTGTCACCACTTCTTATGCACGTGAATTTGCCATTATGCCAGCAGCAACTCTGGGTCTTCACTGCTGCTGCTGGTTATTTGTGCCGTGATAATGACCAGAGGAATTAAGGCTTTACTGTGTCATACTCTCAAAATGGGAATTATCTCTACAATATGTAATCACTGCCCAAATGGAACAATGTTTTAAAGAAGAATTTACAACATAAGGCCTTTTTTCTGCAAAGTGCACTGGACTAGTTTGATGGATGAGAGCAGCTTCTGACTTAAGAATATGAAAACTAAATCAATGATTATTTATTTTCAGAATCTGATGGCAGCAGAAAAGAATGTGGTTTGAAAGAAGGAGATGAAATAAGCAGATGCACAAAGATTTTGTGATTCAAAGTTCATTAGTTTAAGCTGTGGTCCAGTGAAACCAAGTCTTTCTGTAGAGTCATATTAACATATGTGTTATAATTTTTGAGGGTTGCACTCAAGAGCCAGAATCTTCTGCTTTGCCCACTGTGAGGCACATGCAGCATGGGACACACGGTCCTGAAAGACAGAACAGTTAAAGAAAGGTGATGTCTTTCTCTGTGGTGTCAAATCATATTGTCTATTAGCTCTTGTTTGCTTAGAAAGCACCAGATGGATTAGCAGTAACAAAGATTAGAGGTTTAACTAGCCAGGCAAGAACCATGGACAACCATAGCTCATGGTACAGGGTTACTTGATGGATAAACAGTTGGATGGCTAATCACAGAGGATGGTAGAAAAACCATTGTTTTTTTGTGAGAAAATGTTTCTTTTTTGCTGAATCAAGAGTGTTTTGCAGACTCAGAAGAAACACAGACCGAGTTCTGGCATTTCCATGCATCCTGGCAATCCTGGCCAGTCTCCAGGATATTTATTTCCTCCCTCAAAAACCCAAAAAGTTTGACAGCTCACATTTTCATTCTGATGTGACCAAAATCACATTCTGAAACTTGAAAGTTTTTCACAAAATGGGTTTGTTTACCAGACAGCCCTATAAATAATATTTCTCAAAGCTGTGTTTGACAAGCATGATATTGCTAATATGGCTCCCGCTGGTGTGTCATCCATGGCCAGGTTTTCAGAGAAATGTCTGCAAAGCAGAGCTATCGAAAAGCTCTGCATATGAGCTGCAGATATCATTTCTTTTGGAAAACTGTCTGCTTGCAGGGCACTTAAGAATAGTGCCAAGTCAATGTTAAATCATCATATGGGAAATGGTTAACAAGACAGCTTTCCTTTCTACCTCCCATCTAATCTCTGCCAAATCAATCTACCACCCAAGACTGGAAGTTGAAAATGTAATAAACAGGTCCACAGTGAAGGATTGCACTATACCTGTGCCTGGAGCAGTTCTCTCTTCATCTCTCTTCACCAGCAGCATGCCCTCCTATTACCCAAGGGAAAAAATTAAATATTCAGATTGTTATTATTTATTTAGAGGACATAAAAAAATCAAACCAAGTCAATATTTATCCATCTGAAAAAAAGCCCAGTGTATGACAGACGCTTTATTTGGGCTAAATTAGTAGACATATGTCTCAGAGAAATGTTGTTGTTGTTGATTTATTCTTTTGTCCTTCTTTCAGTTAAGCTTTCCTCAGGTGTTTTTCAAACCACAGAGCTTCTAAAGCTTCTGCAAAAAGTCTATTTTTTACTAAATTGCATTAGCTCTTTAAAATATACAGGAAAGATGAACTCATCTAATAACAACCTTGGAAAATAACTGTAGCTGAATATAAATAAAATTAAATTTTCACAGAGGAAAAAGCCATTTCAAACTATTTTTCCCATATAATCCATACCACAGATACTCAATAATTCAGTGAGCTTTCAGGCAATATAAGTCAATGTTGACTCATTAAATGCATTAGCTATAAAATGCATCTCTAGTAGGAAGGATGAGAAATGATTTGCGTTCTTCTCTTTTCATCATTATTCCTTAGTGGCTTTAGTTTTTGGTTTTGTTTTATTCTTTTGGTTTTTTCACATTTCATGCTTTATAAAGAATGCTTTAAAGCAACTTCAGGCTCTCTAGTACACCATTAAAAAATAAAAACATTTTTTTCCTTACCAGAAACCTGACCATGAGCAAAATATTCTTGGTTTTACTTAATACAAATGCTGACAGACATTAAATTAATGCTTAATTAATCCTTCAGAGGTGGCCAGCTAAATGAAAAAGTGGAAAACTAAACTGGTAGGGCCAGGATTGAGGAACTCTTCCAGTCTGGCAGGGCCCAGTTGTGCTGGACTTTGACAGGCATGTGAGACAAAGAACAAAAAAAATCTTAATAAATAAAAAGTACCAATTACATTAATTTGAAAATTCCCCTCATCTGTGAAGGGGTTGTGATTCGCAGAAATTTTGTGGCATCAGAGTGCCAAGTTTTCAGTCTGTTAACTGGTTTTCTGGCATTGACCAACTATATCTTGTTAGGATGCTCAAAATTAATGGATTCCCGCTTCTGCATGTGGAAAACTGAACATCAACCCCTAATATGACAGTTGTGATTCATATGTGTAGCTTCAGGTGGGATGTTATAAGAGAACATGGACATCCAAAGTTAGATGATGTAGGAAATTATGTAAGTTGGAACTATTCAATAAGTAAATAATTAAATAAATACAAGCAAAACAACCCTTAGGCAATACACATGAGTCTGGGTGTATAACTCAGCAGAAGAAAACTGGATAAGACCAGCTCCAGATGAACGGATTTTTTTGGTCATCCACATGTTTCTCTTCAGTGTCACATATGGAACAAATAAATAACATAATTTTGTCCGGTTAAGTTAGGTGAGTTGGCTAAGTTAAGAATCTGGAATGCTATTACATGTGCATTAGGTTGGTTAGCCACCCAAAAGGGATTTAAAAAACCAACCTCCTAATGCCCCTTTGTTTGCTCCCCTGGTCCAAGAAGCCATTTATTTCTTCCTCAAATGCCTAAAGAATTATTTTCACATTCTCGTAGATTATTACTTCAGTGTGAAACCATTGTCTGCAATATGAGTACAGCTGTTATCTACTCCCTAAAAAAAAATTATTTCCATTTGCTTTGTAACAGCCTGACAAACAAATAACACCTGCAGAGGATCATGCTCAATAAAGAATGGGAAGAAAAATAGGTGGAAAGCATGAGAATTCCACTAATGCTCAGTGATTGATCTTGTCAGTGCGCATTGCCTGTCAGAGCACATTGCCCCAGCACAAGCACACAGCACTGAAGAACCAGCAGCACGGGAAAGAAATGCATTTCTGTATAGATCACAGCCAGACACCCTCCCCCAGCTTTCTGAGCAGAGCTTGATTGTCAGCATTATACACACGCTCAGACAATGCTTTCAATAGACGCCTTTTTGGAAGACAATTGCAGAAAGCATGATAACGGGATTTGTCACCCTGATGTGGCTGCTGTTTCAGCAGGCATTATAATAATGAAAGGAAGTTTTACTAATTGAAAATGTGAATGAAATTCAGCTGTCTTTTTATTTTAATTCTTTTGGATGAAAGCCAATTAAGATCATCTGTCTAATGCATCTATTCACCCCTACTTCAACAATGTGTCAATTATAATGGATGTCTAATAAACTCAGACTTCCCAGGACAGAGAGCTGAGCATACAAAACAAGTAGTGAGGAATATTAACACATACCTGTAAAATATTTTGTAAGGATTGGCCAAACCCTTCAAATGGCTGAACTTATTTTCCACAGCATGCCTAAGAGGAATTAACCTGCACATCCTCAGCAGGGAGTACTGTGGGCACATCTGTGTTCTTCCACAGCTATTCTGCACTAGTGGTGCTAAGCACATCGTGGAACCTCAATATTCAAGGCTATTATATATCTTTTAATTTAAACACTACACAGTGTTTTTGGGGAAAATAAGTCTGAGTGCAACATCACCTATGTGTTTCATCTCATTTAATCTCTTTGCTCACGTGTTTCTGCCCCCCTGAGGCATCTGACTCTTGGGCTCTTCTGACTCACCAACAAGTGCGGCTCAGAGGGGGAGGTCTTGTGGAGGGAGATTGATCACTCTCGGCCTGTGTCCATTGTCTACATCTTTCAGGTGTTTTGCCCTAGATTAGTCTGGTTATGTGGACTGAAAGCCTATTAGTGGCATTAAATTATCTTCTAGAGCTCATCTTAGACCTTGGTTTAATGTATAAATAAGCCAATTCAAATCATTCAAGGCAGTGCTGCAAAGCAAAGAAAATGCAGTACATGAAGGCAACTTGCTTCAAAAGGACATGCACAATATGGATTGAAGTGTAACAATAGAAACAAAGATGCTCAGAAGAGAGCCAGCATGCAGAGAGAGAAGTTAAAAAAATCCTAGTGAAATATGTGTAAAAATGCATCTTATCACTGATAAAATATAGTGTTAGCAATAGGTACAGTACACAAATATGAAAATTCAATATTTAAACCTCTGGTATTATTAGGCCTCTTACAGAAATGGATGTTGGATAAACATTGCAAATATTTATGTAAAAATACTGTCTCTATAAGGTGCACTTTTTCACTATGTAAAAAGCCACTTAAAAATTAAGGTATATGTGAAACATTAAAGCTTGTTGCTGTCACCAGTGCTCCTCCTTCTGTGTCCATCTCTGCCACAACTTTTACTGCTTCTACTGTAGCAGTGTAACACTGGTTATAATACCAGGAACCTGATTAAACCATTTTTCAAGAGTGTAGAATAATAAATGCAGATTTTTTTTAAACTTTTTAAAAAACAACTTCACTGCAATTCTTCTCTATTTATTTTTCTGCAGATGTTGTTGACTATGATTTTACTAGAAGAAACCCTTGCTTAACAAAGACAGACAGAGCAAAGACTATATCTTGCACATGAACTTCAAATTCATCCATGGCAAGAGTTTGAGTAAAGTAGGCCAAGAAAAGCCTACTCAAAGGTTAAACTCATGCAGTCAGGCAACAGAAACCCTTCCTACTTTTTTCTCCTTAACTAGAACAGATCAGATACAAAAGAATGAAAATCTTGTTCTTCAGTACAGGGAAATCAGCTCCAAGCTGAGCATTAATTTAAAATTACTATCTCACAAACCCCTACACATAGCAAGAACATTCAAGAGCCTCATAGATCTATACAGACAGTATGGAAACAGAAATAGAACACAATCAATTGAATCTACTATAGTGAAAATATATAACCAGCTGTGAGCCCACCAGAAAGCCCTTTTGGCTGCAAACACCACCTATGAGAGCAGAAGGTGCTTTGGGAATGATAAGCTCAGAGAGATCAGCAAAAAGGCCAACACCAGTCACAGTACATTTAGGTTCACTCTCTGACTTGTTAGGGAGGTTTTTACCTCAGCTCTTTGTGTTATTATTAGCCTTAAAAGAATAATGTGGGATTAAATATTTCTCCTTTCTATACCTGTGCATATACTCCCATTGACCTTTCTGTTCTGAACTCCAATTTAAATTAATTCTTTATTAAAACCACTATAAAAGTGAAATATATGGCTTTGCAGATGAAATTCATATTTGCTGATGTGGTGAAAAACTTAGTTTGGAAGTCACTATCTACTTCCAGCCTCACCTGAATTGTTAGGCATCTATATCTGTATGCCTTTTCCAGATTTAGAATGTCAGACACTTCCCAAATTGTTGAGCCATATGGTAACAGAGTGTTGTGATACACCAGAGAGGTACTTCCTTAGATTTTTCTGTTAAAACTGTTTCACCTGCATGAGCTTACCAAACATTAATTTGGTCCTAGATTAACAAAGTTTAAATTCTTACAGAAGAAAAGTTAGTTTACCTAGATTATCTCAGGCAAAGGGAAAATTCGACCCTGGGTCTTCTGTATCCTAAGTTCATTGACTGTGCTTTTTGGTTCAAAGAAAATAAACTACTCCCAGCTCTTCTTTTGGTTTATCTTTTTGATGGTCACAGCAGTTCAGACTTTGCAGGTCTGAGCATCCTGATGGACTCTGGTAGAAAGCACACCCCATCTACTCAGCCCTTCTGTGGTAATACATAGTTTGTATATACCTAGTGGGGGAGACTTTTCCCAGACACTTATGGAATAGATTTATGGAGCAAACTCAAAGTTCTGGGCAATCCTGGATCTTCTAGGATTAATAAGAAATTTTTAAGGATCCACATTTTCCATTTCAGTCCTTAAAACAGTAATGAAGGTCTTTAATGTGTGAATTTAGACCCAGGGCCTTCTTATAGAAAGGATTTTTTTGGTAGAAGCATTGCAGGACAAGATTTTGAAGGAGAACAATGTGCATATCTAGTATGTACCAGAGAGGTAGCCCTCACCTTTCTCTGTATCACAAAAACTCACCATCTCTGACATCATAAGATTTTTGGAGGATCCTGTTTGAAACCCTAGTAAGTGTACAGT